GGAGAACATCCGCCTCAGGACCTTGACCTCTTAGGTCCCCCCCGTAATCTCCTGACCACCCCTCTGTCCTGTCTGCCTCCACTGGCCGCTCAGACCTGTTCACCTCCACCAGCCCAGAGGGAGAACGGGGACAGGAGAATTGGGAAATGGCAGGACACTGGTTTTTTCTCTGTTGGGGCATAAAACCAGGGAGCAAGGAGAGGAGGGGTCGAGGGAGCAGGGCCGATGGCCCCGAGGTTAGGTTTTGTAGCATCTGAGAATCTTGGATGTCAGATAGAGTCGCTAGTGTCCGCAGCAGACCCCTCCGCTTTCCCAAGGGTGTGGATGGTGGGACCCAGGGACAAGGACCGCGAGGGAACGACGGTCCTTGGTTGTCGGGTCGAGGGTCTGGAGGAGGGCTGCCTGACGGCCTGCAGCCCAACCTCGGGCGTCAGCAACAGTGCGCCCGGCCAGGGAGGGCGGGAGGTCGCCCAGCACCCCTGCAGGGCCCTGCCAAGATCAAAGCCACCTTTCATCAGCCTGGCTTCCTGGCTGAGACTGAGACTGTCACCGGAGGAAATGGCAGCAGATAAATAAAATTCCAGGCAAAGCCCAGGGCTGAGCCAGGCCCTGCCCACGCTGCTCCCGTAGGTCACCGTGGCCCTGAAGTCTCCCATTTTGCAGGTGAAGACACTGAGGCTCAGGGGCCAGTTACATGGTGAGACTGGGTTTGCCCAGGGTCCACCTGACACTGGAGTCCGTGGTGCTTCCCTAGCTGGGAGGCTGGGCCCTGCCGTGAATGCTCAGGGTGTCCCGGCTCTCAGGAGCCTCTCCGTCCCATTGAGCTGGGGAGCCTGCAACTTCCCCCTGGTCCTAACCTTGAACTCTGGAGGTGCCGGTCATTCCACATGGTCCCCAGGAGCCGAGGGGCAAGGTCAGGCTGCTCGGCTCCCCCGCTCACCTCCCCACTCTGCCCTAGGTCTCTGCCCTTCCTGGGGGTCCTCACAGTGCTGGGGACCGGCTTCGGGGCCTACAACATGGCCATGGCTGCCATGAGCCCCTGCCCGCTCCTGCAGGGCCACTGGGGCGGGGAAGTCCTCATCGTAAGTATCTGGACGTGGTGCCACAGCCCTCCTGCCCTCACCTCTTAGCCAGCCCGGGGAACCCCAACGACACCCCTAGTGACCAAAGTCTTTGCCCTTGTCCTCTCCAGAAGCCCCTGGTGGGAGGGTCCCCTTCTCATTGGAAAGTGGGGCATGGGGGAGGGGTGGTGGTCCAGCCTGTGCCCCCAGGGCTACCCTGCGACCTCGTGGGCACCACCAGTGGCCTTGGCGCTGATGCTCCTGACCTGATGGTGGAGTGGGGAGCCGCTGGGTTCTCCTCTGCCCTCAAGGGGTCCCCTGACTGGGCATCCCTGAGCCCTGTGGGGTCACCCCCACAAGGGTGTCCTTGAACTCCCAAGCCAATCCACGGTTTCCCTTAGCTCTGTGCGGTCACCCTGTGAGCACTCCGGACCCCGGGGCTCACTGTCGCTGCCTTCCCCGCAGGTGCTCTCCTGGGTGCTGTACACGGCCCTTCTCAGCTACGTCAAGGTCATGCTGGGTGTGATCCTGCGCGACCGGAGCCGCAGCGCCCTCTTGTGGTGCGGGGCGGCGGTGCAGCTGGGCTCGCTGCTCGGGGCGCTGCTCATGTTCCCGCTGGTCAACGTGCTGAGGCTCTTCTCCTCAGCGGACTTCTGCAGCCTGGACTGCTCTGCCTAGGCCGTCGCGGGTGGCGGGCCCATGGCAGGGTGCCAGCCGCTCCTGAGACTTGCAAACTGGGCTTCAGACAGCCAAAGGGAGCGCCCAAGGGCACAGAGCCAGGGGTGGGGAGCTGGGAGGCAGAGGCTGAGCCTTTGAACCGTGAACATGAGGGATTGGCACAGGCCTTCGGTGAGACCTGGAGTCGCAGGCCCAGCCCTGCCTCCAGCTCTAATGCGGTCCCTGGGACCCACTAGTTCCCAACTTCTTCTCTTTGCATACTGAAAGCTCTGATTTGTACCATCCAGCTGGAGACAGGCCTAAGAATGTCAGAAGGGAAACGGCTGGGAGGTGAGCTGCCCTTGCAAGCTGTGTGATCTTGGGGAAGTCACTTGACTTCTCTGTGCCTTGGTTTCCTCATCCATAAAAGGAGGATTATGAGAATAGCTCTTCCCTGG